AGAAGGGAGAAGAATGTCACAGCACCATGTTCCTTCSCAAGTCACACCCTAACAGGCAATCACAAAACATGAACACAACCTCTAAATATAATCAAGAGTCAAGATAAACGGAACCACAACAGAGGGCCCGCAATATACAGACGCCGTCCCACATTGGGAGGCGGTGGCTAGCAAAGACAAAAAAGAAATAAGAAGGGGAAGAAAAAGAAACAGAAACAGAAAAAGAAGGAGAAGAAAAAGAAACAGAAACAGAAAGAGAAGGAGAAGAAAAAGAAACAGAAACAGAAAAAGAAGGAGAAGAAAAAGAAACAGAAACAGAAAAAGAAGGAATATGAAAATTAAAATCTGCCATAAGAGAAGGCATGCGCCTGCTAGTACAGGCCCGACGCTAGCCGCATCATCTGCAAGAGCAGAGAGCTAGCAACGTCGGAGTATATATTGTCACATTATGAATCAGAGCGCACAAAAGGGGAAAGAAAAAAGGAAAAGGCAAGCAAGTCATTGATCAGCGAACGAAAATATTTGTTTCTGTTTTTCTTCCATATACTTGTCCATAAATAAAAAGGGAAAAGATCCAAAAAGAGGGTTGCTTTTTTTAGGGGCGAAGGGTGGGGTGGTGGGAGGTTACGAAAAATAAAATAATATTATTTTAATTATTTACCAATTAACTACGCAAGCAAGTCATTGATCAGCGAAAGAATGTCCATTTCTGTTTTTTTTTCACGTAAACACATACTTTCTTTTTTTTTTTTACTTCTTTTTCCTGCAAGACTGGTGGAGTGGGTCTGTGGTGCCGAAGGACAAAAGAAGGGAGAAGACTGTGTTGATATCTCGGTTACTTCTTACGAATAAAAATCAAATAAAAAAAGACATCTCGGTTACGTTGGCCCACGCTTCTAACGACTTTACGGCCTCCTCCTCCTCCCTTTCTCTCTCTCCCACTCATCCTCCCAGCAGGCGGGGCGCTGGAATGTGACCCTGCGGCACCAACGACGCGGTGAGAGAGAAAGAGAAAGAGAGAGAGAGAGAGAGAGAGAGTTAGTCAAATACATTCCAAGAAAGTTGATTGTGTCCCAAGTCGCCCCTAGTCCCAGCGTTTGTCCCAAAAGGTGCCAGCGTCAGTATGCTGTAAGGACAGTGTTAGCGCTCGCTAAGTTGCCCCAAGTCCCACCAGTGTGAGTATGTCCCAGAGGGTCTCAGTGTCCCAGAGGGTCTTAGTGTCAGTACATCGTACGGTCTCAGTGTCAGTACATCGTAAGGATAGTCGGAGTGTGAGTGTGCCCTAAGTTGGCCTAAGCTGCCTGAAGTCCCAGTGTGAGTATGTCCCAAAAGGTCCCAGAAGTCAGTATGCCCGTAACTGCGGACAGATACATTGAAAAGAAATCCCCGTGTGAGTATGGACTAAGGAGCTGTCAGATGCAAATGTCGCCGCCAGAGAGAGAGAGAGAGAGAGAGAGAGAGAGAGAGAGAGAGAGAGAGAGAGAGAGAGAGAGAGAGTTTTCCATCCATAGGATGTACAAAATGGGAATGAAGCTTTCGGTAGACCATGGAAATATAGACTGCCACATTTTCGGTCTTTGGCAGTGTATGTTTCCATGTTGTGGCAGTGGATACTCCCATGGACATATAGACTAGGGGAAGATCCAATCCCATTTTGCTCAGTTGGTGAAGCGTGGCAATGTCGG